GGGACCCCTGTGCACTGGCACCTGTGGTCCTGCTCGCCCACTGGATCTCACCAGTCAGCTGCAGCCCAGCCTGCTAGCTTCATCTGCAGTGTGATTTCCCTCTGCTTCCCGCCACAGCAAAGCGTTCCCTCTGCCTTACCACTCCTAAAAAATTCCTGGCCACAAGGACTTTGCCCTTCACACCTAGAACCTGAAACTATGAAGATAAAGCATGCGGGCTCCTTCCCACCGCCACCTCTTATGGTTTGATTCTTGCAAAGGTGACTAGGCCTCAGTTTCCTTGTGAAAGAAGTGGACAATCTTGACAGGATTGCATGTTAGCTTAGGGATGTTGCTGTATTTCTCACACGAAAAAATCCAAACGTCAGGTCAAGTGAGTGTCCGGGTCACTAAACTGTCACTGTATTTCTTCCATAAACATACTAGCTTAATGGATCTGCTGCACCTTTATGAGACGAGGCACTGGATAAAAACGAGGTGGTGACTACCACTTTGGCTCCCTGTCACTCACTGTGGGTCAAGGTGCTGCCCGGGTGAGATAACTGGAAACCTCGTGGGAAACCGAATGAGTCCTCTCAAGCTCTACCCTGGACCTCCTCAATGGGAGCCTCTGGTTGGGAGCCTGGAAAACAGCATTCTGAGTCCTCTAGTGGACTCATGTCAACACAGAATCCCTATTTTACAAGAGTCAAGAACCAAAGTGACTCAGCAAAGACAGCATTGCTGAGCACTGGGCTTTTATCTTGGTCATACTGTGAGACGGAAGCAGTTCTTAGCTGGCCTACAGTGAGTTCACTAATTAAACTATGGATTAAAGGGGGAGGGCACTGAGGAAACAAAACTACCTTGAAAACGCAGAAGACTCACCCCCAAACTCTGCACTGTTAGACAATTTCCCAAACCATCCGTGTCCATGAAACAGGTAAGATTCCCAGCTCAGAGTTTAAAAGAATGAACGTTATACCCTCCAAACCTTAGCAATGTATCTTATCTGAATAAAACTTAGCATCTTTTAGCAATTCTGATGCTTCAGCAGATGGGGCTGCTGCATTAGAAGGGGAGGCACCTCTTCATGGTAAGTAGAAACAGCATGGAACACACAAAGAAGAGCAAGCCCCAGCCAGGTAGTGGGGCAACTGCCAGCTCTTACCACAGGAAGTTGACTTTCTGTCCACCAGGGTCACCCGCCTGGCTTCGGTGCGAAGCTTCTCATCTGTGTTCTCCACAAGGTTGGCAAGGTCGTCGATGATCTCTAGAATGGAAAACAAGGGTACTTGGTTAAATCTTCCCAGTTCACATCTCCCTAGGTTTACAGCTATGGTACTTCTGCCACACCAAGGCATGAATTCACAAATACTCTTTGAAAACTGCAATTCTGATTCTAAAAGGCAAAAACAAAACCAGAAAAAAATGTCAATAAAGAGTAAACCTGTGAGGGCAAAGTAGCACTTGTCACACAAGCCTGGTCACACGAGTTCAGTCACTGGAACCCACATAAAGGTGGGTGAGACCAACACTACCAAGGTTTCCCTTGACTTCCACTCACCCCATTGTGTGTGTACATATATATACACTTGTATAAAATTTTAAAAATGAACAAAAAAGAGTAAGCCAATTTGTCTGTTTTTAAAGCTCACTTAAAATAACCCTATCACAGGAAATAGAAGCATCAGCGATCGCGTACACGTAGGAGGGTGCATGACAAATTACAGCTCAGGCAAGGATAGAAGACTCCAGGGCTGATCTCAGCTGCTCCTGACCCAACTGGGGACAAGATTAGCTCAGCAAAAAAGGATCAAGGGCTCGAAGCCAGAGATTCTAACACGAGAGATGTTGACTAGGACTGAAACGATTTAAATACTGAACTGAGAATAAGCAAATACATGAATTAGACAGCACATGTGACAGACAGCATTTGACAATGCAATCACAATTAAAGAGCAACTGGGTGAGGAGGGGTTCGGGAGATCAGCACTGGACGTGGGGAAGATAAGGGCTTTTAGAGCCCAGGGGTAGGGGTTTCCAATGGGGAGTTTGGCAGACAAATAGGCGGGGTTACAGAAGGAGAACATAGGCATAACAGGTTGATTACCAAAACCTCCTGAAACAAAGACACGGCCGCAAGGTTGTCACAACACAGTGGTCATAAAAAGGTAGTCACTGCAAGGTGGGCACACTAAGGTGGTCATCCCATTTTGAAACAAAGGCATGGTTGGTGTTTCCTGGAACAAGCAGTACTGAACCGTTTGTAGTTAAGGTTACAGGCACAGTTCTATCCTTGAGAAACAGATTTAGATATAAACAGGAATGAACCTAGTGTGTTTTTATTATAAAATGGTCTTGAAGCCCAAAATAGAGGCAGGCTGGTTTATTACAAGTCACAGTAAGCTGTAAGAGTTAAATATATAGAAATATAACTTTTAAAAATCATTAAAACCTCAATGTTTTATGTCACTTTTGTGAGCATTTAGTAATTCTTACCACTTAGTAATTACTGCCTCTTTAAAGAGCCTTTCTATAAAGTTCTTTTTTATGCTAATCTTTAAAAGGTGAAATTAAGCACATTTAAATGTATTTTAAATGACATTTAAAATAGCATATATATAAGAATCTTAATTACATGAAATTATTTCCATCTATCCTTTGGTATTTGCATGCCTTTAGGGATACATGCAATGGTAGCAACTGAATGCTACTGACAATTGCTCCTAGTGGTAGGATATTTATGACTGTGTTCTTCCTGTTTCCTGCATCATTCACACTAATACTGAGCACATATTATTTCTGCAGTTGAGACCCTTTCTCCTGCCCCTTATTTATTTATTTAGTTATTTATTTGGTTTACAAGACAGGGTTTCTCTGTAGCTTTGGATCCTGTCCTGGAACTAGGTCTTGTAGACCAGGCTGGCTTCGAACTCACAGAGATTTGCCTGCCTCTGCTTCCCAAGTGCTGGGATTAAAGGCATGTGCTACCACCACCTTGCTCTGCCTGTCTATTCTTAAAGCTAATTTAGAAATGAATTGTTCGATATGAGACATCACTTTTCTTAAAAGTCTGAAGAAATACAAAGGAGAAGGTAGAAGTTTCCAGAGTTCTGAGCAGTGCAGGTTACCACGGATGGTCATACCATGACTAGGCAGGAAAAGGGCAGTCTATGCAATGAAACCAGCATGAGAAAGGCACAGGAAAGTGGGGAATTCCTTCCCCCGGACTCTGCACATCATAGGGCCCCTCTCTTTACTCACAGAGCCCATGCAAGCTATTCTGAGTCATTTCCAGAATGAGCATGACACAAGCTTCTATTTATCCCTTCCTCTCTCATCCTAGAAGAGTGCCGAGCACACACTGGGGTGAAAGAAATGTAAGCCATAAAGGTAATGGATCAACGGAGCCTCAGATAAAAGCATTGAATGATTTTTTTTTAAAGTAAATGGATTTAAGCCAAGTTTCTCAGTTATCTGTATGTAACACCTGCCTAAGAAAATCACCTACTATTATTGAACAATTCATTCACAAAGCTCGTGTGCATCCAGTGACAGCTCTCTCGGACGTTCTGCCCATTATCTATGAACTTCACCTAAAGCAGTGGTTCTCAACTAGGGGGTGAGATCCCTTTGGGTGTCAAATGATCCTTTCACAGGGATCAAGTATTAGATATCCTATATGTCAGATATTTACATTATGATTCATGACAGTAGCAAAATTACACTTATGAAGTAGCAATGAAATAATTTTATGGTTGCGGGCCAGCACAACACGAGGAACTGTAATAAAGGGTGGCAGCATTGGGAGGGTTGAGGACCACTGCTCTAGAGTGTGCTCCTCTCTCATGTCTGGGCCATCCAAGAGTTTTGTACTCTTGACTCTGTAGACTGCCGTGATGGTTTTATACACCCTTTCCCTTAGCAATATTTAAACTGAAAGTCTGAAATGAGAGCTGGGCAGGGGAGCCCACACCTGTAGCCCTAGCACTTGAGAGGGTAAGGCAGGAGGTGCGCTGCAAGGTTGAGGTTAGCCTGAGCTAAAGAGTGAGCCCAAACAAACAATCCTGACCTACTTACAAACATGATTTTCTCAGAGTTTCTAAAGCTAAACTCTCCTTCTGTCCTCAACTCAACTTTCTCCCATGGGGAAGGGATTAAAAGTCTGTGCCATTATACTCAGCTGAAATTGAATACTAATTTGCCTTTAACATCCCTATCTTTATTATATTATTTATATGTTTACTTATGGGAGCACAAATGCCACAGTACACACACTCAGGCCAGAGGACAACTTGCTTGAGCTGGTGTTCTCCTTCCACTTGTGGTTGTGGGGACTGAACTCAGGTTCTCCAACTTGGCAGCAGGTGTTTTAACATGCTCAGCCACCATGCTGGCTCTAAAATTCTTTATTATTATTACTATTATTATTATTAGTAGTAGTAGTAGTGGCTTTTCAAGACTGGATTTTCTCTACACAGTCCTGGCTGTCCTAGAACTTACTTTGTAAACCAGGCTGGTCTCTAACTCACAGAGATCCACCACCTACCTCTGCCTCCTGAGTGCTGGGATCAAAGGCATGAACCACCACTGCCTGGTGATTCTTATTTTGAAACGTAGCTCCCAATGTGTTATCATTTGCAAGTGGAACATTTGGGGGATGATGAAATCATGAAGGTGTCCTTGTGAATGAATGAAGTCACACTATGCATGGGATTCATGTCCTATGAAAGAGGCAGCAGAAGCCCCCTTGTCTATTCTATCAACGTCAAGATAAAAAAACATCTGTGTGTGAGTCGGAAAACAGTCCTCACCAAGCATGGAATCTGCCTTGACCTTGATTTCCCAGCCCCAAATCACCCAGTGGTTTGCTCGGCAGGGAGACTCAGCACAATATAAAAGTTGTAAAATGCAAGTAAAGCAGTAACAGGGGAGAATCTCATTCCTCTCACTGCACACATATAACCAGCGATCAGACCACAGAAGACAGTCACATGATCATCACAAGATGTGCAGAAACAGAATCTGGCAAACATTTAAAGTCTAATCACCACACCAACCCTCAGCAAATAGGACTGCAGAGGAACTCTCTTGGCCTGGCGAAAAGCATCAGTGAGTGATTTTTAAAAGCAAGAGCAAGGCCAGGAGATCTGCTTTGATTACATCTGTTTGCTATTTTACTAGAAGCCCCATACTGTGTAATAAGGAAAGAAAAGAGAAGGCTAAAGGATCTGAAAGGGTGATACAAAGTTATATATTTGCAGATAACATGATTTTGTGCATAGAATCTATTTAGAATCTGTGAGAATTAATAAGTAAATTTACAACTTAAATTTTTAAAATTACATTTATGTATTTATTTATGTTTGTGTTTGTGTGTGTACACAAATATGCACACACACACACATGCAGATAGCCAATTCTCAACATAGGCATCAACAACAAAGCCAATCAAAAAGGAAAAGTACTCTTTCAACAAATAATACTAGAACATCTGCATACATATGTGCATAAATAGAAAGACTTTCTTCTCCCATACACACAAAAATACTTGAGACACTTCACAGACCTAACTGTAAAACCTGGAATAGAAAGTTTCTTGACAAAAAAAAATTGCTAACAGTTAACTATAGTTCATCAAATTAACCGCATATCTACTACTCTCTCAAAGGTGGACAATTTGAGTGACATGGGCAGGCACAAGTTTCTTGGACAAAAATTTAAAAATTATACAGGAAAGAAAGACAAAAAAGAAAGAAGGAAGAAAAAAAGTCACCAAATTAAAATATTCCTCATCCAAAGACACTATTTCAAAAATGGAAAAACAAGCCACAGACCGCAAAATACGGTGTTGTAGGACATGTAACTGACAAACTATTTGTATCTAGAATAAAGATCTGCAGTACTACACAGAAAAGAGAGGGGGGGGAACCTAACATGATCTTAAATAGCCAAATACCTGAACAGATGCTTTGCAAAAGAAAATATACAAAAAGCCAATATGCACGTAAAAAGGAGCCCACATTACTCATTAGAGAAATGCAAATCAAACCACAGTAAGAGATGTTTTTCCACCCACCCACCAGGATGCTAAAATTAAAGGCTGACAATGCTAATTGCTGGGGAGACAGGGCACAAAAGGCCCCATGGAAGAGTTTATCTACTCCAGTCAAGTCAGACATCTATGTTCTTACACACAGTCTTTATGCCTAGGTATTTTATCAGAATATTTTTTCCCTCAAAAAGACCTGCGCAAAAATATACATAGCA